TCTTTTCAGGCAGCTGAAATCAAAGTTTTCACACCGGACCTGGCTAGGTGGGGTAGCAACTTTATAGCTGCGGTCTGGCTTTTTCAAAAAAAAAATTATAATAGCCACCGCAGTTTTTTGAACAACAAATTATTTTTCAGCAGCTTCACAACTGTTTTTTTAATAAGCTGCAGCTGTCCCAAACTGGCTCTTAATGGCTGAAATAGTGGAGGTCATTCAAAATAAGGACTATTTCAAGATGGCGACTTCGCCTTCGCCTTTTCAACCTTGTGGATTGACGTGCTTGTGGATGCGGGAGTTGGGGCATTCAATCATAAGTTTCCTTGACGCCCTACTGATTTTCTACCAGTGACCTTGCTAGCGACTCGCTTATGTTTACAAGAAGAGGACAGTTGGCTTCATCCCTCACCGATGAAGACAGGAATCCTGACGCTTCCCGTTGGATGACAACAGGCTCCATTTTTTGAATCTCCTCTACCGAAGACTCCATCTCCCGACGGCTCAATCCTTCATGACTTATAGCTGCCTCGAGAACCTACAAAAGGAAATGAATAGTTATCTTTCTATCGGTTTGTCGACCTCTTGATTAGAACTAATTCATCTATTTCGATCCTTTGAAGGAGAAATCGACGAGATCCGCACCTACTGAACCCTTAAGGCCCTCTACCTGAATGGATACTTTCGGCATAGGCGACCGACCAAACCCTTCTCTTAGCAATCTAAGAGGTCGGCACTTCCTTCCTCTCTGCCTGAAGAGCTTTGGAGGATGTCATAGCACATTGTTAAGAAGAACACGCTTCAGTTATTGTTGGACTGATAATCTGGCCCCTTCAACCTTACTCGCCTTTAGCATGTATTTTCGTTGATGCCTTTGTCTTCGCCTTTACCTCCGCCTTTGGAGGATCCTCACCAGATGAGACCGTTTGAATGAACCAGCCTCTTGGGGAGCAAGCTAGGCGAAATCGCTCCTTCCAGTCCTTCACCTTGTTTTCCAACCCTAATGTCTGAAGTTTGCCGGCCGCCATGAATTGTACTAACCCTTTCAGTCCAACTCAAAATGAGAACAGGTAGGGGTGTGTCTAGCAGACTCGTGAGCCGGCTCAAGCTCAGCTTGATAAGTAGCTTGTGAATTGAGCTCGATGAGCTAATAAACCAAACTCAAGCTAGACACGACTGGACTCGTTAGCTCGTGAGCCGACTCATTTAAAAAATATTAATATAATATATTAAATATATTAAATTTGAAGACTGTCTTTAAATTATTAAAAATATTTAAAAATAATATTGTGTTTTATATCAAGTGATTTTTTATTATTTTTCTCGTAGATGTTTATTTTATTTGTCATTTTGTTGTAACACTACCTTTAATTAATATTATTCTCTCTTTTATAATAAACAAGCCATCTAGTGAGTTGGTTCGTACTTGTTGACTTAAGCTCGAGCTCGAACTTGAACTCGATAAAATTAATAACGTTCAAGCTAAGACTCGACTCATTTCCACCCCTAAGAATAGGTTGTTGAACAAATCGATCAACCAAGTGATCTCTTAGAGCCAAGAATATATGACAAAAGTCATAATAGAGTTGATGAAATTCGGCTTAACCTACACTAGGATAGCTCCGTAATTGGAGAAGACAGAGTGTAGCTCGGTGAAGAATGGAAGGCGGAGCCCGAGTTGAAATTAATCCCCATAAAACAAAAGATCGCAACTATAAAGCAAGATCGCTTGATCCAGCTTGTGGGCTACCCGAAGTTGATCGAAGCATAAAAAATATAGACTCTGTCGTAATGAGTTGACTTCCTCCTGAGTTATGCAGAATTGATCATCGAGAGATTGTGACCTGAAGTCCTTTGGAGAATAATTGGGTGCCATCAAACTATCGTTGAAGCGGATCACTAGAGTTCAATAAAGCAGGAGAGAAAAAGAAAGTAGAGGAAGTGCACTCCAAAATCTCCAAAATTTCAAATCTCCTTACATATATAGGGGAACAAAGGAAGGTCAACTATCGCGCAAGCGAAAAATCTGAAGCGAGCAGTCATTTACGTAAGGGGTCATCAGTAAAATTAAAACGATGAAAAAAATAAGAAAAAAATAGCTTTATTAGAGAAAATGACACAAATTACAATAAACGCGCTTCGAAATCAGTTTGAGGAAGTGAAATAATTTACAAGAGAATCTGATGTTCTTTTGGCCAAGAGGCCCGAGACATATCCCAACTAAAGCAGCATTCCATACAAGATTTCTCCCTCTGACCTAAACTGATTCAACTGATCTGATTCACAGTCTGCATCTGAAAAAATTGAGACTTTTCTCGTATATTTGAAAGTTCCTGACAGAGAGTCATCACAGTATCCTCCACCTTCATCATACGGTCAATAACTCGTGTATCTCCCCATCCCGCTGGATCCTGGCCGACAAAGATAACTCTCAATATTGTCCATATGAAGAGCCAAAGACCCATGTGATGTTTGGACCCCTCCAATGACTTCCTCGTGTGCCTCAAGGGGAAGTGGAAAATCTTCGAGCCGGTCAACCCCACCATCCTAGCCAGAATTGACCGCTCTGGCCCACCGCACGACTTGAGCTCCTTGGCGGTTCAGTCGGACCACCCTCATTTAGACCGGGTTGAATCAGAGCATCTGCACCATAAGAGATATTTCACACCAATAGCTAAAGGTCGGTCCTCAAATTTCATACGAAGTCCATGTTATCTAAGAATTGAATCAATTTAAACATTATAAGCTCACTAGGGAGCATTGGTGTAAGCGGGAGAAGCACACCTGAGGTCATTGGAACAGTTTGATCGACAGGAGTCCTGTGTCGTAATAGGTTTTGGGTGGTCAGATCAGGAACCGAGCCAGTCCGCAGAACATCTTTTAGCGCTAAACCTAAATCTAATCAGGCGAGTCCATTTGATCCGACTGCGAGAGTCTCATTCTTTTCACTATAACCTTCTTTCTCTCGTCTTTTGGGCAGTCCCAAATTTTTATCTTGGCAAATACAAAGTGTATTAGATTTTTTTTAGGGACATGGGCCTAAGATTTCATGAGTTTCTCCATTGCAACACCAATGACATGAGAGATGACCGACCCAAACGCAGAAAAGTGAAGAATGGAGTAGGCATGGGAAGGCGTCCCATTACCCTATTTATAGGAATCAGAGACTCTGAAATCAAGGGAGTCCAATTATCGAGTCATTAATTAAAATTGAATATATTTTTTGCATTTAATTCTCTTTTTTTGTATTGCAGCCCACTTGTAAGAAATTAGAGAATCGATAAACTAAATTATGTATATAAAAAAGATGTTCGTGCTGATCTTACAAAGATTGAATGATCCAGAAGAAAGGAATGTGATGGAGAAGATCCCTTTCAAAGAGATCGTGAGGCCCACCAAGCCAGAGGAGCCAGCCAGACAAGCTAAAGCTATCCGAGCCCGAAAGTTGATAGGAGGATGGCTAATCGATGGCGACAAAACCTCTCATTCGAAAATGATTTAGCTAGGTTAGTTGAGCCAAGTCAACCATGTTGAGCTGACCGAGTCAAAAGGTAGGGGTGTGCAATGTTTGGTTTTATACAGAAAACTGAACCAAACTGATTTATATATTTGGTTCGATTTATAAGTAAAAGTTTATATTTCGATTTTTAAAAGGACAATACTTGGTTTTTTGTTCCGGTCCGGTTTTAAGAAATTTTCAACTGAACCAAACATGAACCAGATTTACTTGACTTAGCGATATTTTTAGGCAACCTAGGGACAATGCTTGACTGGTTTGGTTTTTTAAATGAATGAAGAGTTTTTGGACAATATTTTTTTTATTTTATTATATATCAAATATATATATTTCGATTTATGTGAAACCTAACAGTTCAAACCAAATTAAAACTTCTGTTAGGCTGGTTCGATTTTGTCAAAATTTTGTTTGGTCCGGTTTCTTAATTTCAATTCAAATTTGTTTGACAAATTTAAAACTGATCCATCCGAATTGTGACCGAACTGACACCCCTACCAGAAAGTGACTAGATGATAAGTCGTTGCTTATAAAATATCAAAAACATTACAGTGTAGACTTCATTCAAATAAGGGCAAAAATGTATTATTCATTATACTAAATTTTCTAGTTAATCGAAAAAGCTCACGATTTTTAATGTTCATTTGAGAGATTATAGCTCCAATATAGAATTCTCCCTCTCTCCGTCTACTTTCTACTCTCTTCTAACGTTATTTTCCTTAAGTGTGATTCCCGGCAATCTTGGATTCAACGAGGACAAATACGCTCAATGTTCTATTCAGTTCTCTCTGTCTGTCTTAACCAAAAAGGTGCATAGCATCCTTCCTCCTTGTCCTATCTGATTCATAAGCCATAAGAAATTACCCTTATGCCTTATGCCTTATGCCGTAATTAAGCTGCCTTAGCTTTTTATTCCTTTTACTTTGCATTTTCATGTCACTAAATTATGGTCCAATATCCATTATACAAGTGGCAATTTACTCCCCAGACTCTTAATGTGGGTTGAAAGAGTCCCCAAGCAGGATTTTTTCAGCCCTATTTAAAAAATCTGAGGACTAAAATGACCCCCTTTAGATGCAAAATTTTTACATCCGGACTCCGGACGCTAATATATGTCTGACATCCAATGTGGGGCGCCACATGTCAAGTAGGCCCCACAAATTTTAACACTGACCATGTCCGGTGTATTAAAATGAGGCCCACTTGCTACGTGGCGCCCCACTATTGTATTCTGGACGCATTTTAGCATCCAGAGTCTGGACGTAAATATTTCTCCATGTAGACTGCCAATTTTGATAGCTATTTTGATTCTTTTTGATGATATTCAGGATATTTTCTGGAAGATATACATAATCAGAACATTTTAAACGGAAAACTAACCCGTGAATTTGGATAATTAGATCAAACATTACCTCCCATCATCATCATATCTCAACTCCTAAAAGCTCATCAAACTCGCTTAGTTCTGATCCAGAGAAATAATCAACAGGTTGTCACTGCAGTAAAATCTGATGGAGGTGACCAGGCTGTCCTCCACACTCTCAACCGTGCCCAAGAACTCTACATCAACAGGCTACGAGCGGATGCCGCTGCCAACGAGTTAGCCTCCTTATTCGCGGAATGCGCAATAGCCGAAGCTCGCCCGCAGAATCCCATCGTCAATCCGTCGCTCCAACAACTCGATGCAACCAACCTAACCTTGTTGCATGATGTAAGTGACGCTTCCATACTCGCGCAGAGTGGCAGAATGCAGATCATGTTGGATGCTTTCGCCGATGGGAGCAGCTTTATCTGTCTCAAATGTGGAGGACTCGTTAGCAATCATCGCAGGGATGAACATTTGATGTATTGGTGCGGCGGCTGAAAGTCCGACGAATCTTTTTATCACTGTTTTTTGCATTTTGGATGGTTGTATGATGCATTTTTAACAGTGGGAGATGTGCTTGAATAATTTGGTAGGCATGTATAGTTTCATTTGAGATTGGTCGCCATTTTCGTGCTGTAAATATGGTTTTTCTTACCTGGAAATGCTTCTGAAGTTACAGAGGAAACTGAAATGGATTTTGAATTTATAAATAATGTTGGAGTATTTATGAGTAGGGGATGTACATACATACCATAGAATTCTTATGTATTTACATTTCTAACCACTAAACATTCATATTTACATGTATGCCAATCAATTCTTCAACATTATATTAAATGTACTTCCATCATCATCTTTTTAGAAGTGAAATGCATTTTTTTCATACATAGGTGTATGACACCAATGTGTTATAAGCAGAAATATCAAACTTTGGGTGGTACTTATATAACTATATAAGAAATGTGACATGCATGTAAATTTATATTATAAGTAATAGGACAATTTACATACATATCACACTTATTCTTATGAGCTTCAATTTGTAGCTGATGCAAATGTCATGATGTTCTGATTAGAATTTATGTTCTTAGATTGTTATGCATAAAAGATATTCTTCTATCAATTTATTTTCTTATCTAAATTTATATTAAAGTATTAAAATATTTATGATTAGTTTAATGATAAATATTAATGTTATAGGAGATGTGTCAAACTTTAAAGGTAATGATTAGTTTTTTTGAATTTAGATATTAAATATTAGAAATAAAAAATTGTACAAATTTTAAATTAAGGCAAATTAAAATATTTATATAGAATACAAAAAACTATGATAGAATTATAAAAATCATGTAGAAAATTATTTTTCAAGAAATATGCAACATATTATTTGATAGTTTTAAAAGCATCATGACCAATTATTAGAATATATTAACATTGCCATTCATAAAACTAGCTAGTAGGACATTTTTTTTTGAATGACCAAGCTTATTTATTTATGCATGCAATAAAAAAATTATTGAGAATTTGATAAAATAAAAAATTTGGGTTGAAATTTTGTTTATTTATTTTAATTTAGAGGTAATGTTAGAGCTTCGGATTCTTCGCTTTATTTTCAATTGGGATAGAAATACCAAGAGCTTCGATCCAACTACAGTCAAAACCACACCGCGAAAAATGAAATAAACAAATACAACACTTTTTTTCTAATTATTTTCTAATATAAGATATAATATAAAGTACTTAATCATAAATTGGGGAAGGAGGTTTGGCTGGCGAGGTGGGCTTGGACTCGGGTTAGTACATAGGGAAGAACAGTGAGAGATTTAAAGTGTTTGGGATAACAGTGCGATGACAATATAGTGTCACACTGCGGTTTGTCCTGTTTGGCAAAATACATACATTTTGTCTGTTTTTTTTTTTTAAATTACAATTGAAAACTGATAGGGAAGAACAGTGAGAGATTTAAAGTGTTTGGGGTAACAGTGCGATGACAATATAGTGCCACACTGCGGTTTGTCCTGTTTGGCAAAATATATTTTATCTATATTTTTTTTTTTTAATTACAATTGAAAACTACATTTTCTGTCAGACCTGACAACTTACAGTGGTTGCCTGCCAGAAAGTTGCAGTCTGACTTTTATAAAAAAAAAAAAAAATCTATAATTGTCACCATAATTATTTTAATAGCCCCAAAACCACCCTTAGGTGAGGTCTCAAATAGGGTTGGGACCAAACAATAGGGCTAGGTTTCGTGAGCAGAGGCAGTCAAGAGTGGCGCATGATCCAAGGATTTCAACATAGAGTATCGAGCGCCTCTGTTCAAAGGAGGCATCGCTGACGTGGGTTTCTGTGCAGGAAGACAAGCAAAGAAGAAGGCTTCGGTTCTGTGTGTGTCAGAGGATGGCGAGAAGTTGTTGCAATCCCGTCTTCATTCATGGGAAGGATGCAGAGCGGAAAATGGGAGTTTCGAAAACCCCTTACATCCTTACATAAGAAGAACTCCCCATTATACCGTATAAGGGTAATTTTATAATTATATATTATACTCCAAGGATATCTATATATGTGTATTATAACTCTAAGAGGTATTCTGTACTCTTTTCTGAAATTGAAAGAAAGTCGTCGATCTGCTCCCGAGGACGCAGATATCCTTGCCGAACCTATTTAAATCTGTGTTTTCTTCTGAATTTGTGTTGATTCTCTTTTTTTTTTTTTGCTCTAAATTTCTCAACACATTGGAAGGGGATGTTGATTCAATAGCACTGTATTAGATAAGGACACACCAGACACCAATTTGAGTTCAGAGTGAGTGACCATCGCTTCACCCTTCTTAAAACTGACCAAATCCGTGTATTACAGTGGAAACCACTTATCACATGATAAGTGCTTACTGGACTCCGAACTCAAATTTGCATATGATATCTAATGGAATAAGTTGATGAATAAGTGCTCGCAATAGCAGTGAGACCAGCGAGAGTAAAAGGTGGGAAGGGTAAATTTTCCTTTATATGGTAAAAATGTCCACAGAAATAGTACCAAGGCCAATGAACCTTACTGAAACAAACAGGCAATGCCCCCACCAAAAACCTTCGTTACTAATTTCTCATCAGTAATCTTCACTAATGCAACAAAATAAAAAAAAGGCATTCATAAAATTTCTATAAATGAATTGCTGACATATGAAATCTGTTCCAGTAACAAATGAGCTTATACAATTAAACATATGTAAGGGAAAATGGCTGAGATTTAGTCGCCATGATCATGCTGGTTTAAAGAATTGATATGCACAGGTAGATTGCGGCTGATTAATGAGTACTAAATGAAATGAATGCTGCTCAAGTTCTCCTTGCCTTGGCCTGTTTGAGCTGTAGCGCTGCTCTAACAATATTTCCCCTTGTGATGATTCCAATCTACAAGAAAAGTACACAAGATGAACAAAATAAATAAATAAATAAAGTGAAGAGGTCGAGAACATAACGAAGAATACTCATACCAATTTGCCAGCAGAATCCACTACTGGAAGCCGGCGGTACTTGGTTTCAAGCAATAGCCTGCAAACAACAGATTTTAATGCTCTTGGGAAACTTATTTGGGGTGATTTACATTACATAGCCGCTTAATTCTTATGTATTTTTTGTATTTTTTTAATTTAGGGGCCCTTTGGGATTCCTCTTAGTTTTTTATTTGTCGTTTTTTACTTTTATTTTATTTTGTTTATGTTTTTTACTTAAAATGAAATTTTAATATATTATAACATGTTTAGTTGTTTTTAAAAACACTCAAAAAGGTTTTGAATATTTTTATAAGCAAGTTAATATGCTTTTAAAATAAAAAATAAAAACATGCAAAAAATTATTTTAAAATAAAAGCAAAAAACAAAAAATAAAAAAGAAAGATGATCCTAAACAAAGGCTTAATTCTCATGTATGTGATACCGTTCTATTACTTTTACATATACTAAGAAAGTGGGTTTCATGCTACTAGAAAGTACTTAGAAAACGGTTAGCGGGGAGTTGATTGTGAAATAACGAGAGGATCATATGATGGGTTGTTGATGGCATTCAGAGAAACAATATTCGGCGGCTATCCCGGCTAAAAATTGTGGGTTGAAAGACGAATGACGAAATATGAGCAGTAAGGAGTATCCACGCCCTATTCCGGAGCAACAGACAAACACGCTACTTGCAAGAGGAAATGACACAATACTCCAAAGAGCATAAAATAGAAAAAAATATTACAAATAAAAAATAATAGTCAAAAGTATTCCAAAAAAGCAAAAGAAACACATAAATAATCTCTAATAGAGAGATCATATTTAAAAAATAGTAATAGTAAAGAACAAGAAAAGAGAGAAAAATAAAGAGAAAATATGTTGAAATCGAAAGTTGGCGACCTCTATTTGACCCGTGATCGCGAGATCCCTGGTCCGTGTATCACAGGATTATCCATGATCGTGATCGCGGTCCTGCAAGAAAAAAATGCTCCCACATCATTCTCCAAACTATGAGCAGTTTTCCTTCTTTCTAGAAGGACTTAGATCCTACCGTCGAATGTTCTTTCCCACAAATAGCTAAGGAGATTTTCAAAATTGCAATTCACCACTTATGTATAACCATATGTCAGTGAGTGCATTATTGAGTTGAAGCTTATTCCCTGCAATATTCCAAGAATAGCTAAAAAATTTCTCATTTTATCTAAGTGAAAATTGTTGGACCTACCTCGGCAGTGGCAACTTAGGAGGTAGATTGTACGTATGAAAATCCTGAAATTCCCTTATATGGGGTCTCGTATCAGCTCCTCAAACTCATGGACCTTTTGGACAACCAGTGTCAGTCCTACTGATGCTCCTCTCAAGGCCCACAAAAAAGGTAGTTATTGGCATCACATCCTCAAAGTTTATATGAATATCTGTTACCTTGGAGTCACTGCTCTCTAAGACAACCAATGTTAATCCTGCTCTTGTGGGCTTAACTTGGATCACTAGCATCTCTCACTCATCGACTGCAAGCTGATACTCATCTTTGACGTACCCATTCTCTCATATGTCACCGTCCACCTTCAAGGTTAAGGTTTGGACATCATGTAATGTCTAATAGGGTTTCAACTATACCATATTGTTAATTGTTGGTCCTAATTCCCGCAAATGTCGAACTATAATGTTCTCCCCGGACTCCACCAGCTCACACTTTAACATAAGTTGCTCGAACTCAACAATGTACTCCTCTACTGAGTGATCATGCTGTTGTAAGTAATGAAGTCTCAAGAACATGTCTTGTCTATAATATATTGCAGACTAGACAATGATAATAGCTTTTCCCACGTGCCAATATAAGCACTTCAAATTTTCCCTCCAAAATGAAACATTCTTCTTGAGTTTGATGGCTGTCATCTTTACTCTTCCATTAAGTGAAACATCAATGTAATCAAAGACCCATTCCAGTTTTTGGAGCCACTTGAAAAATTTCTCCAGATCCATGAGACCATAAAAATATAGTAAATTCACATTTACTCCAAAATCTTATCTTCTCCTTTGATATTCCATATCAAATTATTGGGGTATTGGTTCTTCATCGCTGTAAAATTTTCGATGGAAGGGATTCACTTTCTCACATTGATATGATGAGTCACTGTTGTGGCTATGGGTGGCCTCTCTGAGTTGACTCCTCTCAAAGCCAACAAGCTTTTATTGCAAGTTGCAGTTGAATTTCTCTGTGCATATTATCTATAGTAAGCTTCGGACACCTTTTTTTCTTTTCGATTCTTTTAGACGGTATGATGTCATTTTCTCTTGATCAAGGTTTCAATGAATGTAAGTTTGTAGATAAAAGTCGGTCGAAGTTTAGGGTTTTGGTGTTAGGCATCGGGGAAAATTTATGGTGAATATAGGAAGGTTGAATTTTTAAAATTTAGGGTAGGGTATAAGAATTGCAATAAGATTGGTTTAGGTGTTAAAAAAATGAAAGATTTAAGTTGTGCAGATTTTTTGGTATGTGTAGAAACGACAAATCTCAAAAAATTTTGGGTTTGTCGGGCTCTGATACTTGATGATACCATTTTAGGACTCCTAGAAGGTATTTAGGAAGTGGGTTTAGCGGGGAGGGGGTTGTAGAACAGCAAGGGTATGACAATATGTGCGATTGTTAAATGACGTTCGGCGGCTATCTCGGCTGAAATTAGTGAGTCGAACAACATATAGCTAGATACAGGCTGCAAGGAGTATCAAACACATGTTTCTAAGCAAGATACAGACACAACATTTAAAAAAGAAAAGAATACAACACTCCAAAAAGTATAAAACAGAGAAAAATTCTCCAAATACAAAACAGTAGTCAAATAAAATAAAAATGACATAAATAATCTCCTAATACATATCCCTAATTAGATAATAGATAAGTAATAAAGAACCAAAAAAGAAGGAAAAACAAAGGAAAAAATATATTGAATAAAAATTTGGCGACCCACTGTTTGATTATATATCTCGAGATTATTTATGATCTGGTTCGCAATTCTGCGGGAGAAAATGCTCCCGGGTCAATGTATATATATCAAACACATAAATATTTATAGTTACTTATATAATAATAAAGTGTCAAAATAATCCCCTGACTATTTAGATGGGTACATTTTAGTCTGAGTGCAAAAATATCAAATTAGTCCCCAAGCTGTTCTTAATATGGGCTGAAATAATATTTGAGGAGAACTACTTTAGGCCTCATTAAATGAGCCTAGGACTAAATTGACACATTTATAGACAATGAGACTAAAATGACCCCTTATAAAAAAAGGGATTTGACATATAGACAATGAGACTAAAATGACCCCTTATAAAAAGTCAAGGGATTTGATGTTTTGTAAAATAATACGGTATATATCAAACACCATATTCTGAAATCTAGATGGTTCTTCATGTGTTTTAGAGATTGAAGTATTATATAGATGAAGACAAAAACTTATGAGTTGGATATATAAATAGATAAAATATTAGTGCTGCGTGTTTAAATTCTAGATTTTTTTGAAGTTTATTTAAGCAAGATATGAGGCCAGATTAGTAGGAAACCTTGCAGCGGATTCAAGGTTAGATTTCTCACGAACAACAAGAGGAGCAGAGGTCATCATTTCACCAACTGTCCTGCCATTTGTTTTACTTGACAACTTCTGAATTTCATTAAATTTCTGCAAACATGAAAAAAAAAAATTGCAAATTGCCAGCGAAACAAAGTAGATTTTAGAAAAGATATGGCATAAAACACCATGATAATTGGGCATGGCAACAAAAAGATTATGCTAATTCTAATAATTTATGAGATAAGATCATGCATTATGTGCATAAACTAGCGCGAGGTCTTTTTATTAGAAACCCAACAACAAGTAGGGCAGTGAAAGAATTAAAACGCTTAAGGAATAACTCGATGTTTAAAATAAGAGTTAGTAAAGTTTGTTCATTTAGATGATTGAACAAATTAATATATATTTTTTTTTACTAACTCATAATACCAATGAGCAAATCTGAACATTGGCCTGTTTGCTCATTTATGTTCAAGGAGTCTGTTTTACATGTTCTTGTATCTTAAAATATATCTTGCATTATAAAGAAGAGACTTAACTATTTAGAAAAAAAAAGCAAATTTTCTCATATTATTGCATACCTTCCATGTGCTATCTACCTCAGGGAAGATACTTTTATCAGTTATTCTACACCCTGATCATAAGAAAGCATGCAAAATGCATTTAGTAAAAATGATTCAGCATCAGCATGGTTTTATTTCACTAAAAATTTTACAAGTGGCAAAACATAAAAGGGGCATTTACATATATTCCACCCAATTCCTATGAGTTAACATATATAACACCTTTACGTTTTACATTTATACCACCTAAATCTTTCATATCACATAAAAAATACCACTATTTTTACTTTTAAAAAGTGAAATTCACCTTTTCATGCATATGTAAGGTGGCATTATGTAAAAATTTAAGTCTAGATGTTAGATATGTAAATACATTAGAATTGGTAAATTTCCAACAAAAAAAAATGTAGGTGAAAAGCTTGTACGAAGAATCATTGTTTAAAAAAAAAAACTATATGACCTGATATGGAATTCAGTGCCAACAAATCATAACCAGAAACAACTCCAACCTGCAAGAAAGAAAGTCAAAATGAACTTTCCTAGTTCATGAAAAGACATTTTTTAAATAAAATTGGAAAACGGACTCTGTTAAAGCAAGTAAAATGACTTGATGAGTAACTGGTAAACTTGAAATAAAAATACCAGAATTGCATGTAAGGATCAACAAGGCATTATCATACATCAGAAAGAGAATCATGATTAAGACATAAAAAAAAATAATACTATTATATTTGTTAGGTTTATTGGCTTTTCATAGCCTTTATTATTTATTAATTTCCCTTATTCTGCATTATATAGTTTCCATTTTATCTTTATTCTGCTTTTATATCTTTGTTTGTGTTTTTATTTCTTTTCTTATTTGAGTTAATTGTAATTGAGTTTAAATACTCCTCATTGTATCAATGAGAAACAAACAGCCCTGATCACCAATTTAACATGGTATCAAAGCCATGGTCTAAACATAGAGGCTCCATTCTGGCCAAATCTCCCAGCCGTTGATCCCGGCATCCCTTCCCGCCTGCCAGAAATCTTCCTGCAGGATTCTTCCTACAGTTTTCCAATCTGCAGGAAAATAACTGCATAATTCTCCCAGCAACATGTCATTTCCTTCTGGAAGGGATTCTTTCTGTCATTTTCTTGCCATTTTTTCAACTGAGTTCTCCCAGCAATCTGCAGTTTATATCCCTTCCACAGATCTGTTGTTTTCCACATATTTGCTGTGAATCCCTTCCTGCCGCTGATCCTAGCAGCCGCATGCTCCAGCAAACGGCCGACCTTCATTCTACCACTTAGTTTTCTTTTGTCGTAACCCTACCAGAATTTATTGATGGATCAAAATCTCAACATCTCCTTTAGCTCAGTCGGAATTATGGTGGATTCCTCCAACTCTGAACCACTTTCAGAAATTGTTCTTGATTTCACCAAAGGATCAACTTCAATTTCCACTCCTTTGCAGACAGGATGATTGGAAACCAACATGAATTTATTAATCATAACCCATAAACTGAACGACATTAACTTTCTCCAATGGTCCCAAGCGGTGTCGTTGTTCATCAAAGAACGTTGGAAGTTTGGTTAACTCATAGATATGGTTTGTGAGTCGCCAATGACTGACCCGACTTACAGAGCTTAAGAAGCGGAGAACTCTATGGTCATGTCATGGCTGATCAACTCCATAAAAACCTCAATTGGTTGTTCATAATTGTTTCTCCTTTCAGCTAATGCCCTCTGGACAGCTGTCCGTGATACCTACTCAGATGTAGGAAACTCCGACCAACTCTATGAGGTATCAAAGAAAATCCGAGAGGCAAAATAGGGGTCTAGGACCGTAACCCAGTACTATAATGACCATGCTGCACTATGAATTACATGGGATTCTCCGGCAGACCTTTCTCTCTTCCAGAAGATTGTGGAAAAGGATCGCATGTTTCAATTTCTAGCTGGCCTTAACAAAGACCTTGACGAAGTCCAAGATTGTATTCTTGATCGGGATCCTCTTCTCTTCGCTCGCGCTGCCTTCAACGAGTTCGCTGCAAAGAGAACCAGAGGTTTGTCATGCTCAGCAGTGCTACTACTTCAGCTGAATTGTCCGCCTTGATCTCGAATCGTGCTCAGCCCTTTTCTATGCCCCCATGAACCAGTCACAAACCCAACCACACTCGGGACAAGTAATAAAGCTTCATGGTAAACCGACAAACAAGCCTTCATCCAAATCCTCTGTTACCAATGGTCTCACGACGACGTCTGAATCTACCATGGTTCAACCAACTCCTACCCAAAACATCCCGGAATATTCTAAATCCCTAAAAAACCAGATGGAGCAATTGATCAAGCTACTTGGAGCCAATCAATTCTCTGTGAGTGCATCTACCTCTCACGTCTGACAATGTACTTTTCTTATGACTCGCACGATTTTTTCCTCCTCTAGTACATGAATTGTTTTTTCGTATGCCACAGATCACATGACTGGATGCTCGCAAGTTTTCTTAACTTACTATCCATGCTCTGGAAAAGATACTGCAGAATTGTTGATAACTCTTATAGTTCTATTGACGGTAAATGATCAGTTGTTCGAATGACCGGTCTAACTCTGGAGTCTGTTTTACATGTTCCTCTCTTGCAATGTAACTTGTTATTTGTTAGCAAGTTGACGAATGATATTGATTGCATTGCTAATTTCTCTTATGATGATTATGTTTTTCAGAATCGTCGTTTGGGGAAGATGATTGGAACTGCTAAGAGGGTAGTTGGATTTTACTACTTTCAAGAGAAGATCACAGAAAGTGAGGACACACCCCTCAAGAGTTATAACTTATCTCGAGTCATTGAATGTCTCATTATGCTATTGCACTGTCGTTTGGGTCATCCTAATTTTCAATATTTAAAAAATTTGTATACGCTGATATTTTTTAATAAAAATCTTTCTAATTTCAATTGTAAGATATGTCAATTAGTCAAACATCATTGGGTCAATTACCCATCCCACACTTACATATCTTCCACTTTTTTCTCTCTCATTCATAGTGATCTATGGGGACCCTCTCGCTCTCCTAGCTACACTAATAAATGGTGGTTCTTGAATTTGATTGGGATGATGTGGGCCTACATTTTAAAAGACAAATCAGAGGTTTTTGTCACCTTCCAAAACTTCTATATTTTCATTTTAACTCAATTCAAAACTCTTATTCAAATACTTCGGACCGACAATGGTCGCGAGTTTTTCAACTCTGTTTTGAGTGAATTTTTTGTCAACAATGACATCCTCCACCATAGCTCGTGTACGGACACGCCTCAACAAAATGGGATAGTCAAGAGAAAAAAACAATCACATCCTCGACGTTGCTCGCTCCATTTTGTTTTAATCCAATGTCCCGAAAAGTTTTTAAAACAATGTCATTCTCATTGTCACCTATCTCATAAATAAAATCCCCTCTAAAATTCACAAGTTCTTAACTCTCTTAGTCGTGCTGATGTCTTACTGCCTCGCCAATCGGATCTTCTCCACCTTAGACCCCAAGATTTTTTCGGTGTACTGCTTTTGTTCAGAACATTGCCCCAATCGGAGTAAACATGATCCCAGACCCATAAAATGTACCTTCCTTGGGTGCTCCGCCACTCAAAAGGGATATCGGTGTCTTGGTCCGACCACTAACAACATATATGTGAGTGTTGATGTCTTTTTCTTTGAAAGTTATCCCTATTTTCCTAGCTCGCCCCAAGTGAGGGGGAGCTTGGGTTCTTAAACATTGTCTCTTATCCTACTCCTTTGGATGTTCCCCCCATTGTTCCTGCCACTGAGAAGTCCCTTGTTCCGGTGGGTACACCATCCAGTGAGTCCCCTGATTCAATAAGTGCACCATCTACTCCTACTTTCGTGTCTACACTTGGAGCACTCATTCCAAGGCTTCTACTCTGGAACACGCTACGTCCTTACAGAACCTTGACTCCAATCTAGGTGGCATCATCAGCACAACCCCTTCTCTGAATGAGGAGGTGAGTTCTCCGAGTAGAGTAAGGTATGCGTAAGGTATGCAATCAGACATGCTCCCTCTATTCTATGGCAAAATATGTTTCTTTCGCAATTTATTGCCAACCTACAGAGCATTTGTTACTGTCCTGAAGGACTGTCAAATTCCAGCTACTATTGAGATTGCTCTTGTTGATCCAGCCTGGAAAACGACAATAATGGAGGACATGAAGTTCCTTTGGCGAAACCATACGTGAGATGTTGATTTTCCTCAAGGTAAAAAAGTTGTGGGGTGTCGATGGATTTTCAACACCAAGTTTAACTCTGATGGGTCTTTTGAATGCAGCCGGTCAGGGTTGGTCGCCAAAGGATACACACAGACCTACAAAGTTCACTATAAAGAGACATTTGCTCCAGTGGCCAAGTTAAACATTATTTGGGTCCTGTTGTCCCTTGCGGTGAATCTGGATTGACTTTTATTCCAGCTAGATGTCAATAATGTGTTCTTAAATGGAGAGCTTACAAAAAAGGTTTACATATCTTTCCTTCCTGACTTTAACTTTATTGCCTCCAGAAAGCAAGTGTGCAGGCTGCAAAAGTTTTTTTTATGGGCTAAAGCAGTCCCCAAGAGCATAGTTCGACAAATTCACAAGGGTGGTTGTGAGCTATGGAGATCATACTCTTCTTCTGGCATTCTTCCAATGACCAGGTAGCTATTCCTATTGTTTATTTTGACGATACTATTTTTACAGGAAGCAATCTCCCAGCATTAGAATCCTTGAAAGACATTCTTCTTAAATCCTTGAAATGAAGAATTTGGGATCTCTTCGGTACTTCTTAGGCATGGAAGTGGCTCGATTATCTCAAGGCATTTGCCTATCTCATACAAATATGTGGTCGATCTCTTGATAGAGAATAATATTCTTCTGTATAAACCCGTGGTCTTCCCTATGAATACAATGAAAAATTATTTGGCATTCTTGATGATGTGTCGGTCAACAAGACTCACTACCAGCGTCTTTTAGGGAACATGCGTCACGCAATTGGTATCGTGAGTAAATTCATGATGACCATCATCTCCAAGTTGTCCACCGGATTCTCCACCATTTAAAAGATACACCAGGCTCAGGTTTAATTTTCTCTCGTCACACCACTCGTTCTATTATTGTTTATACAGATGTTAATTGGGTAGGTTCATGATCGACGATCCACCACGGAGTATTGTTAATTTGTATGAGGAAAACTTGTCACGTGAAAAAGACGGTGGTTGCTCAGAGTAGTGTTGAGGCTGAATTCGGGTTCATGTCCTTGAGGATCTGTGAAGCCCTTTGGTTAGACATCATGCAACCTCCATCTTGCTGCAGCTATTCTGTGATAATAAGACATTCATCAATATTACTCACAATCCAGTCAACATGATCATAAGAAACATGTGGAGATCGATAGACACTTCATTAAGGAAAAGATTGAGTCCGGAGATATTTGTGTCATCCAGTGATCAACTAGCAGATATCCTCACAAAAAATCTTCCTCATTCTTTGT